GGCTGGTGTTCCCTAGCGGGGCCGCCCGCACCCAGCCCACTGTGGACAAGGGGGAAGGAGCGCGCCTCCTCATCCCCCTGCCGCAGCCCCCGCCTCCCCTCTACTTCCCTTTCCAGGATCTCCTTGAGGCATTGGGGCAGCTCCAGGGGGAGGAAGGTGGACTCTCAGGTCTGGAAGACGAGCCAGTGGCCAGGACTGAAGACAGCGGTGCTGAGTGGGACCTGCTGGGACCAGAGAGCAGCTTGCAGGCTGCCCTGCTGCCGGCCCCCAGCCCTCCCCAGCCCGTGGACGGGGAGAGCCAGTGGAGGAGTCTCCTCTCCTCCTACAGGTGGAGGAACTTCTCTGGCTGCTTTGGAATGAGGATGGAGAGGATCGGTGTTCAGGCGGGACTGGGATGCAACCACTACAAAGCCCGTAGGTCCCTGTTAGAGCTAGCAGCTCCACAAAGTGCAGGGCAGCGGTGGGAGGCTGGGGCAGGGGGCTGGTCCTCTATCTGCCAAGGTATGGGGGCTGGAGAACCATGAGAGGTGCCGCTGTCCCCGGCTGAAAGCCTTGGAGTGGCTCTCTGAGCAGCTCACTGTCCCTTTTCTCCCAGGTTTCTGGAGGAGAGGGAGAAGCTGAACCTGGTGCCAGCTCTGAAGCCTTCCAAGGCCCCAGGCCAGAGAGGGCAGCAGTGTTCAGCCACCAGGTAGCCGGGCTGCTGCTGCAGGAAGAGCTAGGCTGCCCTGGAGCCTCTGTGGGCATTGGGTATGCATCAATAAAACATTTGTACAAAACTTGCGTTTCCTTTCGCAAGTCTTTCCTGGCCAGCCCCACGACACAGCACACGGTCCCATGTTACAAAAAGCTCCTCCAGAGTTCTCCTCTTCCTATGCACTAAGGACTTGGTCCCAAAACAGGCCAGAGCATCCTGCAAGGTCTGGCTAAGCCGCAGCTGGAGGGCTGCAGCAGCAGGAAGGACAGAGGTTGCATCTTTCCGTGACAATGATCAGCCTGGTGGCCCTCCTTGCTGCACCGGGGAGGCGCTGTCAGGTACCTGTCGTGGTTCCATGCCATGGCAGTGAGCTGGGATGCCTTCCCCGGGGAGTTCACCACTGCTAGTTGTGAGTCTTCACAGTAAGTGCCCACTGGGCAGGTTTGAGAGTCCAGTGATGAGTTCTAGAGAAACACTAGGTTGGCGAATGGCCCACAGTAGTGTCCTACACATGCTCCTGTCCCATGGGCTGAGCCACTGGAAGCAGTGCCAAGTTTGGCACTGCAGACTGGCATGGGATGGCACAAAGGGCAGAAGAGCTACATGGCTTTAAAAATAAATTTGGCATCAACTGCTGAGAAGGTTCCCACCGCGGGTGAAGGGCTGCGAGGCATTCAGGACCCGGGACAGACGCCAGCCAGCACAGGGCACCGGCATCCCGGGGCCCCACTGCAGCCCCGCAGCCGCTGCAGTTTACCTGGGCCAGGCACCTCGGGGAGCCCACCAGTCCAGCACAGGAGGAAGGCTGTCTCCTCCCTACACCCATTGATGTGGAGCGTAGCCAAGTCCAACTCGCCCTTCCCAGCTCAACTTGTACGACCACTTACTTCTTAGCAAAGGAGGCCTGCTTGTGTCAGCTGGCTTCAGCAAAGCTTCTCTCTTCTGCCTGGGTTTTGCACAAAGTCAGTCTTTGCCTCTATATTACAATGCACTGTAAAGTATGTAGTGATGCAAAGCCCTCTCCAGTGTCTCAAGACAGGGCTGTGAAGCACCAGGAGCCCTGAGCAGATAGAAAGTCGCAAGGCATTTTTCAAACACCCCGCTGAGAAAGAACTCAGGAGAGGGAGGGCCTGTGCTGCCTCACTTAGCCCGGAGGGGCCAGCAGAGGAAGGGGCAGCCGCATGACGCAATGAGTGACACGTACTATACTCCAGTTGGTGAGAGAAGCAATCCATGTTTGGGATGAAATTAAGATTCCTTCTCCTCTATGGAAAAAATGAGGCCCCATTTAACTGTCCTAATTGCAATATGGCCTGTCCTATGATCTTGGTGCTGCATGCAATGTATTGGACATAATTACATTTTCCTTTCATCTCCCACACTGATGGCCTCATCTCTTCGTTGCCTTCTCAGTCTGACTGAATTGCACAGCAGGGAAATAGAGCTTGGGTGGGGTGTGGTATAGCCTTGTCAGAGGGTTTAGGGAGATGAAAGGAATCTAAATCCAGCCTCTTCCTCAGAATAGGACTACAAAGCCAAGGCTCTTCACAAGCAGCGCACACTCGAGCAGCCTTCAGTTACAATATGGCAATAGGAGAATGGATATCACTGGCTGGATGTGCAGCAGGTAGGGACACCAGTTCGGGTAGCTATATCAGCAGAAGGAATCCACATGACAGCAGCCCTTAGGGCAGCCTTACAGGGATGGGAAACAAGGATCTCTCATCATCCTTCTAGGGAATGGGCAGCGTTACCCTCACCTGAGTTCTGCCACGCATACCCTCCTCCTCCTCACAGAGATTCATGCATGGAGCTGCAGAGGAGAGCTGTTCTCTCCTCTGAACAAACTGCACTGCTTTCTGTTGTAGCCTAATGTCCCACACCTCCCATCCCATACCCTGGGATGTTGGGGAATTGTGCCCATTTCCCATCCCTAAAACTGTTTACCGTACTCTTTTTATAAGAACCCGCTGCTCCGTTGAGACTCCCAACAGGGTTTTCACAAGGCTAATGGCCAGCAGAACATGCGCAATGCCTGGGTCTTGTCCCTGCATAGCTAGGTCCTTAAGCCTGAAGTCCACATTAGCCTTGCCACGGTGAGGATACGAGACTTATCCCACAAGAAAATAAAAAAGTGAGCTTTATAGTTTTAACAACGACAGGCTGAGTTCTGACGTTTTGCTTCAGCAGGGCTGTGGGATGGGTAATAGAGGGCAGAATTTGGCTCTGAAAATACAATAGCTACTGCAACCGTCTGCCATTTTTATCCCATCTACGTATTCTTACACATACTATAAGAAATAGCACACAGAAATGCCCCTGCCTTAGAAAAGTACTGTCAATGCTGAGGTCAGGCCCTAGATCTCATATATCTGCTGTGGAATATGGAAGATGGAAAGTGAACAAACCAGTACAAGAAAGGAGTGCGTTATTGAATGCAATCCCGGAATACTGGATTGTGTCGCAGGGGCAGACTGAGGGGGAGATAGCGGGCAGGTCACTCAAAGCTAAATTTTTCACAGCTGTCACCGACATCGTGTTCCTCACTTTCTTGGTGCTGGGTTTCTGACCCAAGGGTTGCTTTGCGGATGTGCTGAACTCTCAGGCAAAACTCAGATCAAGGGACAAAGTGATTTTGCACAGAGATAGCACTGTAGGTGCTCATACTGCCCATACTCAGTGGGTGGGGGGGGGAGTTGAGAGGAAAGAAACAAAAAATAAAACAACACCAGATCCTAGTTATCTTAAATTGGGCATTCAGCATTAATAAATACTTCCGATTTCTCTTCTCACCCTTTCTCATTTTACAAAATGAAGACAACTCCCTGAGCAGGCAAACACATACACACCTAGGAAGAGCAGTAAGAAAATATTTGGAATTAATTAGTGAATTTTTCAGACACTGAGGTAGGAAACGTCAATGAAAAAACGCTATCAGGATCTTAATTCTGTCTTAACCACAATTTGAACAGTACAAAATAAGAACGGGTTGGGCCACACAATAACACTAAAAACGAGTACTGCCTCCATGTACCAAAAAAAAGGAAGCATTGGGGAAAAACAGGGAGTGCTCTTATCATAAAGGACTTCATCAGAACATATGCAGATTTGGGCTGACTTCAGGCTATATTAGGAAAAAGTAGTATTTGAGCTTGGCTTCACAACCTTGAGAATGTCCTTTCTAGTATAATTTTGGTAGGTCGATCATGTGAACAGTGCGTGCACGTTTGTACACAAACACCATGTTAAGACATTTAAGACATGAAAAATATTTTATAGTTCTATTAATATTTAGAAACTGTACTCAGGAGGTTCTTCTCAGGATCTATACTCATTAAAAGATAACAATTTACTCGACTGACATATTCAGCTTGCTCATATATTCATTCAATTTCAAACAACACAAAATAAGCCAAAAAATACAGCATAAGTAATATGCTTCATAATTTAGAACTCTCCTGCAGTTCTGTAAAAAGGAGGAATTTTCAGTTGCACTACATGCATAAAGACAATGCTGGAAAAGCCATTTGAAGCACATCTGCTTTTCTGCAATTTCTCAAACACAGGCAATTTTTAGCAAAGACGACAGGAAACGAAGAAACAAATAAACACTTTTAGAAAATGTATCAACCAAATGTTTCATTTAACCCCTCCCAAAACATACATACGCACAAACTCACTCATTCTTCCTTGGGGCGAGATTCTGATACCTCTGCTGAGTAACACCACAAGCCATCTATCTAAAACCGTATAAATTCTCGCTGAGCAAGTTGTGTTCTGGTACGACGGTATTAGAATCTAGTACAGAAGATTACTCCTGAATCTGGCGTCTCTTTTTTAAATTGCATTAATGGAGGGTCAAGCCTTACCATCGACGCTTAAAAAAATCCCCACTGATTTAACAATTTAGCTGTTAATAAAGGCCAGTGTTTTTCAACGGTGTTGAAGACAGTTGTCATGGGGGGCTGGCGGCGCTCGACGTCCCCGCAGAATCGGTCTAGAAGTTATCGTCTGCAATGAGGTGCAACTCAGGGCCCCTCTGTTCTTGGCAACATACAAATGCAAAGTCTCAACGGTGAGATCACCTCTACAGCAACCGGGAGAGAGAAGTGGCCCAAATCTGGGATTTTCAGCACACTCCATGGTATGTGGTGGCTATGCATATTCCATATATAGAAGGAAAGCGTGCACAATACTTTAGGTGTCCTAAAAGTAGCTTTATCTTCAGTCTTTATCCTTCCCCAAATGCTCATCTGAACGCTGCTTGCTTTCCCTATAAAAGGTAATTTCCCTATGGAAAGCTTCTATTTGAGTAGAGTTTAGAGCAGTTTCAGGGTTGTTACCCATCTCCGTAAATCTTACCATAGGGGTCTCTTGAAAGAAAATTGCTAAGAATTTCCAACTGGACTGTGTAATCACAGCGCCTGGTATCAAGAGAAGGGGGAGTGACATGAAATCACTGACTTGTGACATACATTCCTCAGCAACAGCAGCTGCTGCCTAATGACAGCTAATAAAGGGAATCTTCCCTTGACAGAGCTGCATGCCTGCAGTGGGACTGGAATGCGTCCCAGATAAATCCACTGATAACCTAGGAAGCAGAGATCACACCCAAAGAGTATAAAAGACGAGCTGCGGAAGAGAGAGGATAGGACAAGGAAGAGAGAGACCTGAAGAGACATCTCAGAAGGAGCAGCTTGAACTTCCCATATTCCCAACGAACCCAGCACCATGGACGCTAAAGGCTCATTCTCCTGTGGTTTCCTCTTGCTGCTTCTCCTCCAGTTCCAGTCCAGCAAAGCCAACCCTATCTACAGCCTTAGCCCTGCCAAAGAACTGGCCAGCATGGAGGTGAGGACTCTTTGCTTTTGTAAGGTTAAACTTTCCGGGGGCTTAGAAGAGTGCGAGGTGGTGTCTTTGCCTTTCTTTGTGCAATCAAATAGCCAGATCAATGATCAGAAATATCTAGGGGACAAAGTGACTCAGACATCTCAGTTCGTCAAAGGGGCTCAAAGAACCTTTATAGAGCAAGACCCTCCACACTGGGCTCACCTGAGCTCCTGGGTGGCAGCGGGAAACAGAATTACGATGTTGTGGTATGTCTCCTTTGTTTTTGTTTGTTTGTGTTTTTAACAGCCTCCCTTAAGGTTTCTTATAGAATTAGAGTGAAGTCCCAGAGAGGGCACAATCCAATGTAGCACAGTAGCTCTGTAAGAATAAATAAATACAAAACTTTCAGGTGGGCTCCTTCTGTTTATCCCACTAAATGGCAGGTGCAGTGAAGCAGGACAGCTGCATGGCACTTGCTTTGTGGATTTAAGAGAAGTGGATGTATGCGGATGGGAGATGAGGAGGAGCACCCAAGGTCAAACTTTTAGAAAACGCAGTACTTAAGAATCAAATTGAGAGGAACAATATGATCATGTAGTGTGACTCATACAGAAAAGCCTCCAGAGCTATGAAATTAACACATGCATATTTTAACGAGTAAGTCCAGAGAATATCTATTGTTAATGCAGCCTAGGGAGCAACACAAGCTTAAGATTCAGTCTTGAAAGATGAAGTATGACAGCTTAAGCATTTCCTCGGACTAGTACCAACGACCAGTTTCTTTCAGGATCAAACCCTCAGAACAAATTCCCTAACATGATTAGGACAGTGTCAGCCAAAGCCCAAGGCTCCAGCCTCCTCTGTCTCCAGTACCTAGCTGACAAGAGTGGCTGCCAAATGCACTCACCCTCAAGCAAGCCACCAGGTTCATTCCTCTCTAGTTTACTTCTAGAGATGGACAATTAGATCCCTCTAATTGGTTGGGCTGCCCTTGAGGAGGTTATCTGATCCCTGTTATTCAAAGCTTTAAAAATTATAGAGAACGATACCCTGTGATGGTGTGCTTACTCCATCTGCGACATACCCAGGAGAAAGTCAGAAGCTAGCCACAAATTTTGCATATAGGTATTTTCAAGGAGACTCATGCTACTTTAAGGAGTAGCAGTCCTGCAGCTTCCAGAAAGAGGCTAGTGGAAACACCACGAGCTTCTCCATGTGAAGTCTACTGCAATAGCCAGGGGTGACAAACAAGCAGATGATCTTTGTTACAGTCAAAAAAGAAGGGAAAGCCAACAGCTCGCAAGCAGTATTACAGACAACTTCTGAGAACATGGGAGTGACTATGGAGTCAGAAGTACTTTGAGTATGTACCACTGGGGAGGGGGGGGTTGACTGATACCTATCCGTGCAACACAAACCATGTTTTGCCTCTCCACTAAGAGTCCTTCTAACCTTGCCACTAAGCTATACTTCTGTGATAGGCAGCTTCAATCAGTTCTCAGCTAGAGCTATCTATTGGCAGAATTAATGTGAACAGGGATTTACCACAGAGGACAGAGCTCAAGTACCACCAACAGCTCTGGAATCCAACCTGACTGTCTCCCTAGTGGTGACTACAAGACCACAGATGAATGCAGAACTGGATGACTGGAAGAGTTAGTCAGTGAACTAGGAGTTTCATGAAATTAATCCTTCTCTTACAGGCTCTTCTGGAGAAACTGGAGGATAAATTTGCACTGATTGAAGCCCTGGAGTCCAATCCTGACCTGCAAGAGCCCAAAACCCAAGAGGACAGCCCACCAGAACTTGTAGATGACAGCGATGATCAGAAGGCTGAATCCAGACTAGCACCCAGCACCCTTCTGTCCTACAGGGACCCCTTCCTCAAGAGACTGAAGGGGCTGCAGATGCCCAGGATGATGAGAGATTCTGGCTGCTTCGGGAGGAGAATTGACAGAATTGGATCCCTGAGCGGAATGGGTTGCAACGGTAAGTCTGCCTAAAGCGTTTCGTTGAATAGAAGGAACAGTTGCATCAGTGCTTTGCAACAAGGGAGGCGTAGGCTCTCGTTTATGTCTTCAGCAGTAAGAACAATAGCGGAAAGGAGGGAAGAGTTGATTTCAGTCTAATATTTAAGCTAGCAGTGGTTTTTCAAAAGAAATCCTGTCTCTTAATTTGATAGGCAAAAGCACTGCAGGCAGTGATGGCATATATTGACAGATAAACAGATTCCAGTAACATGTATTTCATGTTTGGCTTGCAGGTTCCAGGAAGAATTAGGAAGACCTCCCTACCCTGTGCTATGAAGAATGCTTTACAGTACCCGTTCCTCCCAAGATGAAAGATAGAAGCTTTCTAAGCTCTTCAATGGAAAGTTATTCCTATTTTTATTTATTTATTTATTTATTTATTTGATGTTTTTTAAAGAACGTTTCTTACTCTAGCACCAAGAGATCATCTTTAAATAAAACTAACACGTTAGATATCTATGCTGGACTTCTCTCCTGTCTGTTACATCAAACCTTCGTGTATTTTCCTAAAGTCAAAAGCCTGTGTTTTATTGGTATGCTGGCACTCACAAGGCTGGATCTCACTTATGCAAGACTGAGAATGTATGAACTTGGGAGAAACAAGAATGAGTGTTTCACTAGAATTTTCCTCTCTACTCTAGGAAATTTTAACAGATTAGCAGGAAAAAAAAATTGCTCAACCTTGGAAGCCCAGCATGAGCCCTACTATAGACAGGGTGTCAGTAACAAGAGAGTCCTTCTGCTGGTATAGATTATTCAGTCAAGAGAACCGCCACTCCATTACAGTAAATTCCTCGTATGTAGGCAAAATTTACAAGAAAAAAAATTTAGAAAGATCACAAAACTACAAAAGTTACAAGATAACCAGAGGGAGGAAAGGGAATTCATTGTATATGCTTTCTAGCACTGACCAAATAAAGGCTACGAGCATCAACAGAAAGATACATCCTTAACTGTGTCTTGTCTCACTCTGCATGTGGCTGGGATGCTGATCCCCAGTGCTTCCTCATGGATCCTTGGAGGGCTGGACTCCTACCACAATAATTCTACACCTCAGGGCAGATGGGATCACTCCAACTACAAAACAGCTCGTACATAACGCTTATCACTTTCTGGGAACGGCCCCTCCCAAAGTAATCCTAAACATGCCTAACAGGAACATTGCAAGTCTGATGCAAGGTTTTACTTAAACCTTTGTAGCTGGATTTCACACCTATGATCTGAATTTGGCCTACATCACATTTTTTCCCCCAAAGAGGGTTACACTGACAAGCCTAGATTCAGGTAGCCCCCATGGGCCAAACAGCTTGGATTTCCAAGTCAGCCAAGGCACTGGCATTGAGCCCTGGATCAGCACAAGTGCCCCCGTGAATCCACATGCCATTAGAAACTGGGGTATTCTGAGGATGCAACTTTGAGCCTTGCTCCCAGCAAAGAACAGAAACTCTTGTTCCCAGCATCCTTTATTTAACCACCTGAGAAAGTTAATTCAGTGCCTAAGAACACAGCAGCACCAGGATGGACTCATCTACAGAGGTCCAATTCTTACATTGATTACGCATGCATACATATACCCATCAAGGATGTCTGCAGAGAGAGGAACAAGACTCAGTCAAGATAGGCTAGGGAGAGGCAGAGCTGCCAGAGCCCCGTGACCACTGCTGACAGCAGCTCTCAGAATAGCAGTCGCAATGAAACCACAAGCTTGAGCACTGAACGGGACACCATTCCTGCACATGCCTATTACCAACTCAGGCTGTTATGTTCTTTGTTAGGGTTTATGATGAGCTGCCCCCCAACTCGCTCCCTGTACTGCTGACAAGGCCTCTGTGAGAGGCACCAACTTGCTCCCTGCTGCACTGAGGCTTACAATTCTTTCCCAGGAGAGATGAGCAGAAATCTATTCTGAGGACATCACTTTGCTCCAGTTCCACAGTAAACAAAACCTAGTGTGATGCAAATCACATGTCGGAGTCTCTCCTTCCAGCCAGCACCACCCAGAGACCTAACGCTCAGTGCAATAGCGACCAAAGAGGTTTCTCTGGCATGAGAAATGATTCCTAGGCCAGAAAGGCAACTTGCAGCAGTTATCATGAGATAGCTCTGCAATAAAGAGCTACAGTGGCTTTGCATTTACTCAGAGGCAGTTTCACAGATCGAGGGGCCTCCAACTGCTCCAGGTCACCCTTTGGGGCGCCACTGTGAGAACAATATGGCTTTGTCTTCTCCAACAGGCTTCCCAGACACACCCCTGCAGCCACCTGTTTCCCACTGCAGCAAGATGGGAATGGGCAGGTGGATCCCTACACTAGCACTCAGCAACAGCCTGACTTCCTGTGTGCTGCTACAAAGGAAAGTAAAACGAATCCTTATGCTCTAACAGTAACCGTTCTTGCTGCATTTCATCCAGTCAAGCAAAACTTGTGCAGACACATCAAGGGCCTGTAAATTGCTCCTCCTTGTCAGCCCCTCAAGGCACAAAACACTAATGAGTACAGTGGAATGTGCTAAAAATGGCAAAAAGAGTTGGCACCGCCTGACCCAAAGCCAGGTGGGTCCAGTATTAACAGCAAGCCAGTTCTCGGTGGAACAAGTCTGTATCAGCTTGCAGGTAGTATGTTAACAGACCCTGCAGTCTCAGAGAACCTAATTGCAAGTAGGCAATCTAGGAAAAAAGCATCTCTGTGGCTGGGTTTTTACTGCTACTCCCATAAACACACTGAGCTGTAAACCTTCCCCAGAGAAAACTCGCAGTCAGATCAGAATAGGACTGCACACAGAGAAGAGCACTTGGAAATGCTGAATGAGAGAACCTGAGCATTGATGATCTCTACAGAGCATCATCCCCAAGGACAAGCAAAGCTGGCTCCGTTGCTACAGGAGCTGGATCAGAGAGGACAGGGAGCAGGCAGGGGAAGAGCTAAGCCCAAACAGGTACAAAGACAGGAGAAGCCCACTGTTTATGGAGAAAGCAAGGATATCTGAAAATGATATTCCTCTCTGGAACTGTATTGACTGCTTTGTAAAGAGGGTCCAGAAAGACTGCGCTCAAGGGGGCACCTACAGAAAACCCAGAAGGCTCCATTAGGGACTTGCTTTCAATGAGGTCAGGAATTTCAGCTGGTATAGGTGCAGCAATGAAGGATCCTAGAGGGAGCTAGGGTGTGACTTCACATTTATCAGCTGTTCCACAAAACAGCCACATACTTTCTGACCCATCAGTATCAATGGCAAGTGCCAGAGCTCTGTGCTTCCCCGAAGGTCAGCAGACTGACAGTTACAACAGGGGAAAAGCAGAGGCACAAGCAGTTACCACAGCATGCGAGATGCTTTACAGGCCTATGCTCTAGCTCACTTCACAGTGACACAGATTTGTTTGTGGCTCAGCTATTCAAAGGAAGGTCCTGTTGCTTCATTCACCTTTTACACATCAGGTGCTAAACCCTCTCTGCTGCCTTTCCCTTCCAGGCAGATAGATCAAAGCAGACACCTGACAGAGGTTTTTTTTTCCCTTCTGCTGCTGCTGTCACTGCAGAGGATTTGCATCGTGACACATTCTGCCCACCAAAGGATGCAGATATTCCTTTTACCTAGGACATGCTCTCTTCTAGCAGTAGCCAGTTTTGCACAGACCCACATCTAAACGTGAGTTAGCTTCCTTCAGACACATGGTGGATCTGCCTTTGGTACCTGTAAATTTTTGAAACCAATGCCAAAAGAATTTTTCAGAGGAAAACAGAGAACTGGACTGGAGAAATGAGCAGTACCAGACTCTTTGGAGGGCAGGAACTGAAGACTAACGCATTCCTAGTGAATCTTCATACCTCTCCAAGATGCATCTCAAGCCTTCCATTGAGAAGCTTCTTTAGGGGAAGGCAAAGAGGTCAGTAACACGCGAGCGTCAATCACAGTGCAGGAAAAAGGCTGGTGGCCAGACAACCAAACAAGCACTTCAGAGTTTTTCCGCAGGAACTGTGCTGTGAGTCAGCCCTGAGACAGGGAACCAGCGTAGCTTGTCACTGTAAACAACTCAGAATCAGCCTAAACGTAGCCTTTAGGACAAAGCTACAACTGCAAAGCAAGACCTGATATCAAAAAGTTAACGAGGATTAAGTTTCAAATAACTATTCATCACTGAGCACGGGGCAGGGTCCTGAAATCCTGCTCTCCTCCTCTTCATGAGGCATCAAACAGTGTTTTGGAAACCTTGTTCAACCCCTTCCCCCAACGCAGCTCCTAGGACATATCCAGATGCTATCAATCAGGCTCATTGTGCAAAGCAAGAAATATCCCAGTGAGATCTGAGAGAAGGACCAGCTTAACACCCTCCATTCTGCTCTAATGACATTTGCCACCTCCTGCAATGCCAGATTTCTTTTTTCCTAACAGCTTCTAGTGGTAACCCTGACTAGCGGTGCATAATTCAGTAGTTTCTTTCCTTTGAACTTTGGAATATAATAATTACACTGGCTTGCCTCATACAGATCCCATTGTAGGGCACAAGCCTCATGAAAAAGTGGTCTGGTTCATGTCAAGATTTTTGTAAATCAGATTTGAGGGTTTCTTCCTCCCTCTCAGACACTGCTATCTCTTTCCAGCTTTCCACTACATAAAATGCTTGACTGAAATCCCAGGCCACAAGCAAGAATACCAAGAAGAGCTGACACGACTGCTTTGTTTCTCTAAAAAAAAAAAATCATATGTGAAACAGCACACATGCAGAAAAGAGCCAAGATGCATCAATTTGCATAACAATCTGGCCTTATCCCCCCTTTTTTTTTTTTGATTTATGTCCACTGAAGCTTGGCTCCCAAAGGCCTTTGCTGATGGATACCTGCTGATGAGTGTTTTCCAGTTGTCTCAGGCAGCAACTTTTTACAGACTACAATACAGTGGTGCCATGCCTAGAGATAGAGGCTACCGGCAATACGATCATATAATTCAAAACATTGAAAACGCTTGTCTTTAAGGGAAGCCTTGCTGACAATTCTCCTGTGCTGAGAACAGCCTTTCCTTGGCCATCTTACATGCCTACCCAAAGGTACAGCTCACGTTAGAGGGCTAGTATCCAGTCGTCCAACATTTGTTTCACGATTTCCACAGTTTAGAAGCAAGAGTCCAGAGGCATCAGGGAGATAAAGGAAGGGGAATCTTTTCTGGTGCTTCTCTCACACCTCTGAAGTGTGAAA